CAAGCTATGGTCTTGACTTTTTGGTGACAGATAGCTTTTCCTGTCAGGAATAAGTCGTGTGAGTTTGGTCCCCCTAGCAGCTTGTTCTGGAACTGCAGGGCACTTTCTGGTGAAATGTTTAAAAGCCAATAAGTCCAGATAGGAACAACGTATTTTCATCATTTTTGTTGTGTAGGTAGCTGAGAGAGAGTTGTACATAATTAGATGCAAATTATGCAAATGAGGACTTAATTTGCATAATTAATGAGAAAATGCTATAATTACAGTGTTTTATGTAATAGTACTTTTATACATGTAATCTACTTAATCTGTGGCAGGCGGAACATCAACAGATACCAATTATGCAAATGATGACCTAATTTGGATAATTAATGTGAAAATTCTGTGACTCCTTATTGGCAAATGATGGGACTTTTATACCTTGTGACATGTGTAAGTTACTTAAAGGTTAACACCACTATGCATATATTATGTTAATGTGGAGGTCACTTGCATAATTAATGAGGGCATGTTGAAATGTATGACAAAGCAAGCTCATATTTCATGGAGGTATGAGATCTCTGAACTCTTGTTCATCATATGTTTGGCATACACCACCTAACATTGTGTAAAATGTGACTGTTTTGCTATTCTCAGACAAAAATGTGCCCTTATTTTAAAACCAAATGACCTGAAGAACTTAAAAGCTTTATATGGGGGTTTTAAGAACTTTCAAAATTGGTTACCGGTAATGAAAATTACTACATGGGGGTTTATCAATACTGAAATCCACTGTATGGGGTTTCAAGAGCAAGTTTTTACAAAGAGGTATTAAAATACGGTTGATATGGAACAGTCCATTTTGCAATTGGGAGGGATTTAAATACATGAAATATGCTGTACTTGCTCAGGAGCAAATGTCGGCCTTTCTAGTGTTTTCACTGTTGTCATACATGTACCTTCTACATAAACTTCTAACAAACATGTTGCCATATTAAAGAATCAAACATACACAAGAAAGATGGCATTTAGGCTTCTACCTTTATACAAAGTAACATTTGTATCTTGCATCAACAACTCTTATTGCAGCAAACATGTTATCTGTGATAAAATTGTTTAAAAATGCCCAAGCACTACATGTACAGTGTATCATACAAAAGGAACTTCTGAAACATATCCCTACGTTATTCTCTTTACACATAATACATTGTAGTTCATAGCAGTTTAGACCATAGCCTAGCATTGAGTTCTTTAACTTTGAATCTATGATTAGGATCTTTAATGATGTGTGAAGTAACAGATTTCCGATAATTTCTAAAGCATAAGTTAACTGTTCTCATCAAATAGTATGACGATATTTAGGAGTAAGATTGCAACACCTGGATCTTTACACCTACCACCACTTTTGGGGGCTGACTGGAAACATGGCATATATGAAATAATGACATAAACATTTCATTCTACTGAATATTTCCCATCTTGTTACCAAAATCTTACATGGGGTACCTTAGCATCCATCTAAGCCTTTGCCTTACAGCTGTCCTATTTAGTACATGATTAGAGCCTGCATTCCCCGTGTTAACTGTACCTTACATGTACATTGTATACTCATGTATATTTATCTGTTAGAACATATAGCTTTTCTTATGAACACAAAAATGTACTATCTTATCACCAACTTTGCTTTGCTAACTGGTCTGTAATACATGTATACTAGTAACATATTGTACATGTCATCTACTACAGTATCTAAGTTTAGGTAGTCCCAGGTTATTTCCATTCTGTACCTGCATTATTGCTGTGCCTTGCAGCACTTTTTACTTCATCTCTGCAGTATGTAGAAATGAAATGTAGCAGATGATGTTCACTGTAAATGTGTTTCTATGCATTACAGTGTTAGACTTGCTGGTTGGTTTGCTGGCCCTCAGCAGTTTGAGGGTTAACACTAATCTCCACTTGCTGCCTACATACCGGACACGATCCGTTCTGTTTTAACCATCGGTCAACACACTTGGAGTGGAACTCATGAGCACATGGCATCCTCCTGAGTTTGTTTCCTGTCTTGTACTCTACCATACAGATGGTACAGGAGTCTTCACTTCCCTCACCAGTGAGATGCTGGCCGCCCTGCCGTGTAAACTTTCTACACGGGAGCTGAGCAATCTCATCCTTGGTCAGTCCTCGCGGTGCCTCCTCTTCCTCCCCCTCCACATCTCCCCACATCTCCGCATCTCGGGGAGAAAACATCCCCATCACCTCAAGAAACCCGTCCCAAGAGTCGCTCGACTCATCGTCGGAAAGCTCGTCCTCCAAGAAGTCTTCCCATGAGTCATAGTCCTCGTCCCAGGAGTCGCTGAAGTCTGAGGAGTCTGAGTCCGAGCCCTCCATGGTGTCCTCCTCCAGGAATGACCTGAGGAACAGCTGATAGGCCAGCATGTCCAGCTGCTGTTGGAAGGCCGAGGCTCCGGAGCCTTCCCGCGGTCTGACCCTTCTCCGCCCCGTGAGGCGTCGTCTGGGGCGGTTTACGGACCCCGCCCCTCTGCTGGGCTGTGAACTTGACCTGCGACCTGCGGAGGTTGTTGTGGGGCGTGGCGGGCGCGCGCCCGTCCGGCCGGCCTGTGTGGACCTGCTGACGGTGGCGGAGGTCGGCCGTCTTCTCCGCCCGCGCCCCTGCCGACTCCCCGTGGACGTGCTGGTCGTACCACTGGTGGAAGCTTCTTCTGACGCGTCGTTACCTGAACACAACATTCAACATTCAGTGTACACTACATTTGGCTGGCTTCATGTAATAAACACCCAGTTGGTTACTGTAAGATCCAGAACAAGATGCTGGTACATAACTAACCTGTATCACTGGTGTTATTCCTTGTTCTGTTTGTGACAGTGGCTGAAGCTGGCCTGTTGCTCCTTCTGCGCGCTGCGGCACCCCTGGACCCTGACACGCGCCGGTGTCCGCTGTCCTGACTACTGTGGCCGGCCTCTCGTGGTGACGACTGCTGGGCAGTTTGCCTCGGCCTCAACTGCATTCTGGTAACTGGGGCTTGCTGGGTAGCTGTTTGACAAGGACAAAATAATTATGCTGCGATTGAATATCGAAAATAAAATCTTCCTTAAGGTGTCCTCCCTGGCTAATTTGGCATTTTAGCTTTCCATCGTTTCCTCACAAAGAAATTTAGAAAGAACTGCAGTTGTACTGAATATTGATACCTGGGTACAAAAGGGTTATGAATATGACTTTATGGACCATATGGATGACATCATCACATTTTATTGCCCCAAATGTAATTATCTTTAAAGTTATAATATAGCACTTTGGTACAAGTAACTGAAATAAAAATATTATTTGTATGAAAGTATGATTACAATATAAATGTACGTTTGTACAAATTGATAATATTATCTACTAATTACCCATAGTTATTAGAGAATAACTAGATTTTAATTAGGCAATTACATTAAGGTTATTCTCTAATAACTACAGATAATTAGTAGATATCAATTTGTGCAAACGTACGTTTGTAGCTTTGATCATTATGCACATATGCCATGGGATTGCTTTTAATACGGCAGTTACAATGTACAGCCTGATGGGGGCTAAAGAGTAAAGAAAATTTGGTTTTGGTTTCCTTTTTAATGCCCATGATCATGATAATGATCATTCTGGCATGCTCATTTTCACATGAGTGAGGTGAGGAAAGTTGCGTCAAGTGCCTTTACCAAGAGCATAAGATCGGTGACAAGGCTGCAGGGTTCAAACCCAGGACTTCTTGGTTCCTAGCCGAACACGCTACCACTGCACCACACGACCCCACAATGAGTGTCTATATAGTGATATATCTTTATCTTTGATATATTTTTATCTTTGTTACTTTGTATTTGCTGATTACCTGCATGCTGATTGGCTGCTGGTTGACCAGGTGTGTGCTGATTGGTTGCTGACTGAGTGGCAGGCTGGTTGGTTGGCTGTGTCCTCAGCTGCTGACGTCTGGCTTCTAGATCTTCTGGGGTTGTATTTCGACGATCTCCCAGCATGCCTTGCTGTCTCAGGAGCAGGAAGTCTTCTTCAGGTAGACCTCCGATGTACATGAGATATTCTGCCTCCCTGGAAAAACAACAAATATTGAAGAGGCATTAGGCCACAGCAAGTAATTTTAATAGATGACATCAGCACGTGCATTAATTTTCGCCTGGTTTTGAAAAAAAAAGAAGAAATTTTGTGGCCTTCTGACAGTAGTCACCATGCCGAAAATGGGCAAAGATGTCTGTTTTCATACCGAAAGGTGGATGGCAGATAACTATTAAGAGAGGAGACAAGAAAATGCTCTGATTTAATGTTTTGTTTCTTACTTTGATGCAGTGATATGTGATACTGACTGTGTATATGTGATGTTCCCACTGAATCAAAACCATTTGTACAATGATTGAGTCAAAATTTTAGAATGTAGGAACCTTGTTTTTTTCAGTCCGCCTTGTTTTTTTTTCGCCCGCTCGCATTAGATTTGGAGTCTGTGGAGGATGTCATCCATAAAATTTACTTACTGTGGCCTTATGTAACATTTTGCACCAATATATTCATGACTCATATATATATATATTCAACTTATTTGTGCCATCATCATTCCTGACATTTATGGTTGACTGTAAAACAGTCTACAGAGGCACGCTGTGTGTGATACTCAGTTTGTGGTGCCACCACAAAATACAAACATGGCAGACAGCTGTGTTTCAAGCTTTTAAACACACTTGTTGTAAGGCATCATATTTTGGCACCTACATGTACACTTCCTGAATGACTTTGTTTGGAAATGCAGTAGGGTTGATTCAACATTGTACTTTGTACAGAAATGACCAGGAAATGTACTTTTTGAATTGACTGAACCACAGTAGATGTTACATAAGGCAACTTCAAGATGTCAGCAGGAGCAGGGACCAACTGATAGCCTGTGTCACCCACATTGAACTAATACTCAGACAGCAGCACTGGCAGTGCTCTAAACTATATATATATGGATAAACGAACTAAGTGTAGAAATCAATTTTCAGACATACCGCATGCAGCTTAACATAATGAGAGATTTTATCGAACCTCTGATGACCTTTAAACTCAAATTAGATACATTTCTTATGTGAAAGTTCTATATACTCCTTGGCAAGGTTTTGTTTTAACATTTTGTTATCAGTTGCAAATGACCCCACATTAACATAATATGCATAGTAAGGTTAAACTTTAACTTTAACTTACACATGTCATGAGTATGAAAAGTCCCGTAATCATTTACCAATAAGGAATCATAGCATTTTTGGATTGATTACGCAAATTTGGTATTTATTAGCACACCGGTATGTAAAAAAATCATGAAAATGTTCCTTTCCTGATTTATCGGCTTTGAAAGATTTTGCAAGAAACTCCCCTGTAGTTCCAGAACAAGCTGCTAAAACTAAGACCATAGCATTATATCCAGGATAAAAGATACAAAAGACAGAAGTTCTGCTGCAGTACCAAATACATGTATCATCACAATCCATAAAAGCCTTCTTAAGTTATGCTGACCACAAAATTGTGGAAACACAGACAGACAGACAGACTGTCAAACACACACAGACAGATCAAAAGCAATACCTACATTTTCATGTAGGTAATAAACTTCATCAAATGACTTTTACTGCCCTTTTAATGCCCTTTAACTGCCTCCAACTTCTGACAAAGTTAGTTTAGCAGTGGTAGAAATACTTTTTTTCAGTGTTCTGCAAATTTTGTTCTGCAATTTGGAAATACTTTCTGCAAAATACAAAGTGTAACTTAAAAGTCCAGAATCTTAACCCATGGCATATTCAGAATTGCATTTTACATGAAAAATACAGCCAAAATTACTACTTACATCATAGACTCAATAGTAAACAAAAACGCTCAAAAACAATATCATGCAACAGCTAATTGAACCCCAGCCTGATTTTTTCAGTCTGCAAACTTGCAGGTTGCTTCATTTTTTTTCTGCAATATTGAAAATGTCTCTGCAAAATGCAGATTGCAGGTGGGTATTTCTAACACTGTATAGTGTCTGTGTCAGACATGTCAGTCCTGACCTGCGCAGTTGTTCCAGCTCCTGTCTCCTGTCTGTGTCCAGTGACTGGAGATGTTCCTCCTGAGTCACCACCCGCCCGTCTGCCAGCGTCACCAGCTCCTGCCGCGAGCGTTCCCGCCACTGCTGCACGAACTCCAGCGGGTTGTCTCTACCCTGGTGTCTCCTGCCGCGACCAGACATGTCGGCCCCAGACAGGCGCTGAACACACGGAAAACAATGATACTATAGTACCGGGCAAAACTAACACTAATATATGACTTCTGCAGCAGCTTTTTCATGTACTGTGTATCTGATTTGATACTGCAGCACATGTATTTAATTTAGATTAACACTGCAGACCTTAAGTGTTACAGAGTTGAATTGTAACAGCAAGTAAATTTAGTCCTCACCAACTGCCCAGCCAGGTGAGTCCAGGACCTTTTGGTCTAGTGGTGGTGTTGTCAGCTGTGAACTGTCACACTGTGTGCGGCATGGATTGGATCCCCGTGAGTCAGTCAGCCTTTTCAGTTTGTCTTTCCCTCTTTCTATGGTGTCAGTTACAGAATGGAGTACATGTATCAACTAGGTACGTAGAACATCAGCAATTCACAAAAGGATATTTTGGAGGTTTCTCAAGCAGTGCAGGCATGTAGAAAATGGTATTCCAAGGGTGAGAATATACGGGTGAGGGTGAGAAAGTATCGTGGGAATGTAGGGTGGGAATGTAGAGTGGGAATGTAGGGTGGGAATGTAGGGTGGGAATGTAGGGTGGGAATGTAGGGTGAGAATGCAGGGTGAGCATGCAGGGTGGGAATGCAGGGTGGGAAGTAGGGTGAGAAGGTAGGGTGGGAATGTAGGGTGGGAATGTAGGGTGAGAATGTAGGGTGAGAATGTATGTGGGAATGTAGGGTGAGAATGTAGGGTGAGAATGTAGGGTGAGAATGTAGGGTGGGAATGTAGGGTGGGGATGTAGGGTGAGAATGTATGGTGGGAATGTAGGGTGAGAATGTAGGGTGAGAATGTAGGGTGAGAATGTAGGGTGAGAATGTAGGGTGAGACAGGTAGGAATTGGGTCCCGATATTGGTCGATTTCGCGCGCTGATGCGCGCGCGCGCAAGTGGCCACGCCGCAGCGGCGCTGCGCGCGGGCGCGCATAACGCCCCCCACTAGCGGCGCTGCGCGCAGTTTGTTGGTACGACTATGGATTTTGTTGGTACGCGAAACCTGTCAGATCGGCCCTTGTCTGCGCGCGCGCGTATAGCGCCTCGCACTAGCGGCGGCGCGCGCACTTTGCCTGGTAAGCCTGGGGAATGTGTTGGCGCGCGCGTAGAGCCAAACCAGGTCTTGGTTGTGCGTGCGCAATTTCTGCCATTTACGATCGGCGTTGCGCGCACGCATCTCGTGCTTAGTCAATAGTATTATACTATTATAGTCAACAACACTGATAGCTCGGGAATAAGTTATTACACACTTGCAAGTAAACTGAAGGAGGAAAATGGTCAAACAACTGGTGTATCATACAGCTCTAGCGTATTTCGTGCTTCCTGGCGTGTGACATTCAAAAGTTTGACAACAACGTAGCGTTTTTGCTGCAATCTATACTTGGCTTTAAGCAAGGAGCTTCAAATATTGCAGTTTTCATTTATCCCTTTGCACAAATAAAAATATTAATCAACAAATGCAAAACAAAGAAATAAACAGAGTGCAGGAGGAGGAAAGAAGCCTGTAAGACTTGTACAATGTCCTTGAAACTTACGAAACATTAATCCTGAAAGTAACAAATAATAAATAAAGAACACCTATTTAGCAAGGTCATAAAAAGGCAGAAAGCTTAAGCATAGCATACTAGAAGAGAAAACAGATGAGAATTATCATACTATTATAAGCGTAATCAGTTACCTTGCAGCGTGTCTTCGGGGAGAGCAGATGAAGTGGAACATTTCTATCGGAGCTGCACCCACGCGTGACCGAACTTCTGAACCCAAGCTGGATAATAACCTTTGGTGACGTCACTAATTAACATACTGACAATAGATGTCAAAGGTCATGCTTTGTTACTAACCAAACAAACACGCGCACTAATACAGATGCGTGTACGTACAACAGCCTCGCTTCCGCGAGAGAAAGTAGTTCGTTCCATGATTTCCGGGGCTGACAAGCCGAGCCTGACACGCCTTATATGAAAGGTTGTCGCTGGACTCTAATACCATGTGTCTTCCTAATCTTAAGTTATTCATAATACTAGTATCTAAGCTTCATTTACTACCCCTATAAAATTTCTAACC